TAACTGATAATATTTTTTAAGAATTTTATGAAAAAATATTTTAAAAAACATTCCACTTTTTAAAAATAGCTATGAATTTAGCTTCTACTTTAGTTTTGCAAAAAACAACTTTTGAAGTAATTATTTTTTGTACGTTTCAGTAATAATAGTAGTGTATTGATAGTAGTAACTTTTTCCTTATTTTATAAGCTATAAAAATTCTCAAAATATTAGATATTAATTTTTGTGATAGTAACGTTTTTTTTACATCTGTCCAACGAAAATTAAATAAAATATCTCTAAATTACGCTACAATGAAAAAAGGTTTCTGCATTATAATGCAGCTATAGTTATTTTAATCTAATTTATTTTGTTTAACGGTATTATAGAGAATATCTTATTGATATTTTAATGTTTATCGTTTTACAGTATTATGGTTTTTTAACCTTTTAAAACATAATAATGTTATAAAAACGTTTTCAAGCCTAGATTTTTACTATATTGTGACAAAGGCCTTGATGATCCGTGATACACGGACAACCACAACCGGCACAACTTTTGTCACCACCCTAATTATATGAATAAATGGTTGACTAATTATCACCAAGATATATCAGTGGTACCAAAACCAAAAACGACCATACGGCTGGCGACCAACTGCTGAAAAACTACACGCCGTCATCAACAACACCATGCGAACTTATATGGTGTTTGTAAAATTAAAGACTCAATATCACTTTTAATACCTACCTTGTATCAATTAGTAATTGTTTTTAATTTAGTAATGTTACTAAAGAACTAATTCTTTAAGGAGTCGGCCTAGTGAGTAGAAACGTATGTTTTAGGCACACGGGAACCCGGATTCAATACCCAGGGTGCCATGGAGATTTTTATGTGATTTTCTCATTGGCGTCTGGTCTCTGGTGCAAGCCATAATACCCGTCCCGTCTATCATTGGCCAAGCCAAGAACCATCTCCTATTTCCTAACATGTAAAAGAGGATAAGTACCCTCTATAGCATGTTAAGTTTAGGAAATAGAAGGATGAAAAAACTGATCATTTACCAAGTAATAAATTTTACAATAAAATTATTTATCCTGTTTTTTTTTCATAAACCGTTTATAAAACATTTTCTTGCTCATATAGTTGCAATGGTACAAACATTAACTATTTCTAACATTATTAGTTTAAATAAAATTCAATTTGGTAATCAATTAGTTTCAAAGATATTTTACATGCAACAAAAAATATTGAAATTAAAGTGTTAAAACATTAATTAAAATAATGCATTATTAGAAAATACAAAGTGCAAATATTAATTACACTTATAATAATTTTGTAGCATAATTTTAAATTATTTATAAGAGAATAAAATAATAACTAGAAACTTATATTAAAATTATATTTATTACGATTTCTTTTATAATGAACAAAACATTAATACCAAAATAAAATGTTTGTTTACAAATAAAATCGTTTTTAAGAATAATAATATTCACACAAGTATTCAACCATATTGCCACATTCTGTAAAAAAAAAGTAAGTTATAAACAACTTAATCAAACATAATTTTTAAATAATTTGAATAATAGCAGTAACCACTGACCAATTATAATGAAAATAAAAGAACTCACTAAATAAACAATATCTATAAAACACATTCGAAAACCAAATAAACCAACTAGGGCGAAATTCTGACAAGTTACAAAACTAAGAAAAACAAAAGTATGGGATGATTTTCAATTCATAAAAAATACAAAGATAACCTTTGGAAAAATATGGGACAAAATTAAAAGAATAAAAGGAAACAACCTTCTCCTCGATCCTTGTGAATAAACAATTCATAAACTCCATTTCTCTAGAAATAGTAGATACATTAGGGATAACTTTCAAAAAAAAAATTATAATAATAAAAACAACATAAACTGTGATAAAGATTTTTTAGAATATAAATAAACGACTGAACTTTTCCCAATCGTCATAGTAGGGGATCCAACATATCTACTTAATATGCATTTACACCATGAACTGAATAACGCACTACAAGGCAGAAAATGTAAAATTCCTGGGCCAGACAGTTACCATTTCTTTTCTTATAAAAACGTTCAATGCGTAGCATATAAACCTTATTAAACATACGAATCATACAAACATCGTATATACTCTAATCTGGAAATCGGGAAACTTTTAATCAAACTGGAAAACCGCCGTTATTATTCTTATGCCTAAAACGTATAAGGACAATTTAGAATTCGAAAATGACAATGTCCTTAAGATAATACATTATACAAAGGTCAGTGTCAAGAAGATGACTTCGGTGACGCTGTGTTAGTCAGTCTAACTACCATATACACGTAGTAGGACAATGGCTGACAAAAAACGCGCGAGTCGCGGGACTGTATCATCCTTTTTTTAGCAGTAATAAACAAGCTGTACAAAACAATCACTAATGAAAATAAGAATTTTTATAGAGGAAATTTTAATTTATAATTGGTATAAAGTCAAAATTGTCTCAAACCTCTAAGATACTATTGATGCTCTTGCAGTGTGTGATAACAAAACTCGATTTAAATGTTTTTATTTTAAATTAAAAAGTATACAACTTTCAAAAAAATTCAGACCACCGTTGTTAAAATTAAAAAACGAAATTATAACAAATTGTGTTTGTGGCCTACATATGAGTAACTCTTTTTCTGTATTAAAAGCGAAATATTATAATTGCTTAACAATTAATCTACAATATATATATTAAAAAAAAAAGAGTATTAATAGTTTAAAATAGGAAATATATTAATAATTATATTATTTAAAACAATTTATAAGCATTTATTGCTTATAAAAGTTATTTAATCAATCGGAATTTATAGTTTTCGTACATCATTAGATTTATTAATTACGTTATACATTTTTTTCATAGAAACTGTATTAAATTTCTATTTTTAACGTCATCTAATATTTATAAAAGTTGTGTTTATTAAATTATTTATCATAATCGTTTGAACGCAACCCCTGGTGATAATGTGCGGGTTAGTTAACATTCGTTCCTGTTGTCTCTAATCACGCAGGAGAAAGAAGTAGAGAGTGGACTATATAAAATGAGTAAAATATATTTAAATAAAAAATAACAAATGACTGTATTAAAAATATAAACCGAAATATTATGTATATATCAATGTGGGTAGGGGGCTCTTATGCTAATAGAACAATGCGTCAAATAAAACAAATAATAAGATTAAAATAAGACAAAACAATACAATTAATAACAACTTATCGATACTAATGATGATGACTGGTTGAAGTGAATGGAAGGCGAATGATCTCGTTAATCATGACAATTGAACCAGGCAAAATGTACTGTTGCGAACAGTACTTTAAAGTTTACGAATGTAATTCTCAATGAGCGTATCGCAAGGGCGATAAAAAATAACGCACAAAGGTGCAACAATCGCAAGGGCGATATATAAGGGTATTTTAATAACTACATGCTTGCAGGCACCGTAGAGTCATATAACAAGACGAGCTAGGATGGCGGTGAAAACAAAAAAAATCACAAAAAGGACTGACAGTAACTCTATGTCGTACAACGATCGCATACTTAATCATTAAACGTAATGATTCTCTCGCACAACCGGTGGTGGTATAGCGAGTGGCGTTATCAGTCATAACAAAACGCCCTCCCCCATAACTGCATATCCAACAATAGTAAATCCGTTTAATTTTGTTTTTTTTTTGTAAAGCCTATTTTTATTTATTTATTCAAACATCTTTCTGGGTGAATCTATGTTATTAATCCGATTAGACATCCAAAAATTACTATTAAATTATATAACATATTTCTCACCTTCTTCGGTCAGTCCTAATTTTGGATTCTCTGCAAACATTGCGTATAAATGTTCACAATCTTCGTTAGTCACTTTAAGAGAATTATGTTCGAATACATTATTACAATATTCAAACAATTTATCGCGAGATAAATAATAACTTTTATCATCATTTATACTATAATTTATATCATAATATGAATCATCATTTACACCATAATTTATATCATAATTTTTAACGTAATTTATATCATAATTTATGTCATCATTTATATCATTTTTACTTGATGTAGTAAGATATTCAACAGACTCTATTTTAGGTGTGCGATGGCAATGTTTACATTCTCCAAGTTTTGCAAATTCTTCCGATAACTTCTCTAGAAGTTTTGTAGGAGAGCCAGCTAAAAATTAGATATAAACATTAATTATAATTGATTATTTCTAGACTTCAATTTAATAATAGTTAAGACAATTTTTTTTGCTTATTGAAATAGTTCAATAATCCCTAGAATTTTATGTAATAAAATATTTTTGTTATATGTTTATCCTTTATCTCTGATGTGGGTATTAACTTAATTTTTTTAAATGGCAACATGCATATTTAACTAGTTTATATAATATAAAACAATCTAAGAAAATGACAGGTCTATAACATAATAAAGGATTAAGTGGCTAAATTTGAAATAATTTGATTTGAATTTAATGTAAGTTTAAAATGGAAGCCCATGTAATATAAGTTTTAACGCAGTATTTAATTCCAAGCAACCAAGAAGCATAAGAAAAAATTCTCATTCATATGTTTTGGATGTCTTGAATTATTCTTTTGTTAGAAGGGTTACCTTTACCCTAAATAACAATGCTGTAAGCCCAGTGTGTATGACTAACTATGATAAAAAATAATTTACAGTTTATTAATATACATTATAGTTGCCTTTGGTATTAAAAAAACTAAATTAATAATGAATTTTTATCTTATATCCAATCTAAAAACGCAAATGACTGATAATATAGAAAAACATAAAATTGTTTGTAATTTTTATTCCAATTAATTTAACAAGCTAAAATTAAGAGTCCCAATTAAGAAAATGAAAACTTATGCTTTCCTTGTAGTGATAAAAAAAAAATTTAATTTATTTTTAATACATTATAACTTTACATTTATTATTAGCTTCGATGCGAAGCTGAGAAGGTATTAATTTTACTATGATGTTTTTTTTTTTTGTGTCTGTTACCACTTTTTCTCAGCTCTCACTGGACTGATTTCTTTCAAAAATACGTCAAAAGTTCACAAATCGTATCTAGTTAGAGACATTACCCTTAAAAATTGAAAAAAATTCCCTCGTTCCCCGAAAATGGGGGAAATATTAAAAAAAATTACAAATTTAAAAATCGATAAATTTTGTCATTTCTTTCACTTTTTTTTCTTAAAACTTCCATAACTTTTTCAAAAATCAACAAATCAACATAATTTTTTTTTATACTAAAACTTTAGATATTTCTCTTTTATTTGATATCATTTTTTTGAAAATCGAACACTTAACCTGCTCATTGAAGGGGATTTAAAATAGCAATTTTTTTACAAAAATTAACTTTTTCAACTTAATTTTTGAAAAAGTTCCAGAAATACTGTGTCCTTCAAATATATATCAAATTAAAGCTTATTTTATATACTATAAATTGAAAAAAAAAATTTGTCCCGACACTTTATCTTCTACATTTAAACGGCTGCCGTAGTTAAAAAAACACTATTTTTTGTTAAAATTTTCGATTTTAAATTTTCAACTTAAAAATGCTATAACTTTTTGAAAAATGTATATATCAGCACAAATTTTTTTTTTCTAAATACATTATAAGTACATCTTTCATTTGACATACTTTTTATTAAAATTGGACAATTTCCCCTTATATAGGGGGCGTTCAAAACTTGAAATATTGTAAAAACAATGGATCTTTTTCAACTGAACTTTTGAAAATGTTCCGGAAATACTGCGTCCTTTAAACATATATCATATCAAAGGTTATGTTATATACTATCAAATGAAAAAAAAAAATTTGTCCCGACATCTTATCTTCTATGTGCAAATGGCTGTCGAAAATTCTAAAAAAAATGTAATGTTTGCGATAAAAATTACCTTTTATCGGGATGTTTTTTGTACTTAAAACTGCCATAACTTTTTCAAAAATGAACAAATAAAAATAATATTTTTTGTTTTGAAACTTTGATATTTTTCTTTCATTTGATATAATTTTTTTGAAAATCTAACACTTATTCTGCTCACTGAGGGGATTTAAAATAGTAACTTTTTTACAAAAAATAACTTTTTCAACTTAATTTTTGAAAAAGTTCCGGAAATACTGTGTCCTTCAAATATATATCAAATTAAAGCTTATTTTATGTTCTATAAAATAAAATAAAAAAATTTGTCCCGACAACCTATCTTCTATGCGCAAATGGCTACCGTATCCAAAAATATTCTATTTTAACAAATTTTTTTTTTAAATTAAACACTATCTACAGATTTGCATCGAAGCGCTTTTTATGATAGTGATTTTAATCACTGTCAGATATCATCTATACTGGACCCAACTATGCCACGACCCAACTGTGCCGCTACCCCACTGTGCTAAAGGTTTTGTTTATTATTATATAATTTGCAAAAGCAAAAAATGTTTAGGAAAGTTGAAAAGTTTAATTTTACTGATTGAATCGATTATTTAGTTGTGTGACATATTGAATTTTTTATTGTTTCAACCATAATATACCGAAAAATTGATCTAGATTTTAACTTTTCGAGCTCATCCTTTAATGGTTCCATTACCTTGTTCTAATATTTAGTTAAGTAATTATGTATGTTTTTTTTAGTAAACATTTTTTACTATAAATTTTATACAAAACATGTTACAGTACATTAAAAGTATCATATGTTAAATCGTCTCTTCATATTTAAAAAAGTAGTGATTATTGTAGTCAACTATTTTTTAAAATGTAACGGTTGCAATGTATTCGATAAATCGAAAATAGCAAATTTCAAACACTAGGAGTTTATCATATTAAAGTATTGAAAAAAATATGATCAAAACTAAATTTTGTATCTCATAAATATATTGTGGAAAACAAAAATTAAATAATGAACTAATGCTAAAGAGTAAGTTTTTAATAACTATTAATAAAATGTATTTACTTATTATTTCCTCGCCTGATGGACAGCAACCTGAATTACTAACACCTAATAAGCTTTTTGCTCCATTTATGATTTCTGAAAATTATCATATTAGTATCATAACCAAAGTAGTTTGATGAAAAAAAAACTTAGTCACACATTTATTAAATTTTATCTAGTTATATACAAGATACTTATGGTTTTTCAAATTATAAGATTACTTTTTACTTAGTCACGTTTTAGATTCAATGCGAAAATGAGAACGTATTAATTTTATTAGGATGTGTTTATTTTTTATTTTAGTCTTTCACTATTTTTTCAACATATGCTGGACCGATTTTTCTCAACAATACGACACAAGTACACAAATCATATCTAGTTAAAGACATTATCCTCAATAATTGAAAATTTTCTCTCATACTTCGTAAATGGTGATAATCCTCCAAAAAATTACGATTTTTAAAGTCGATAAATTTTTACATTTTTAAAACTTTTAGATGTGAAGCTGAGAAGGTATTAATTTTACATGATGTGTTTATTTATTATTTTTTTTTTTTTATGTATGTGACTACTTTTTT